TCTCCATGTCTGAGAGAAGGGTTTACCTCCAACTTTCACACTAACTGGTTGAATTGCCCCATCCTTTCCTTTAGAGCCCAATCCAACAACTATTACTGTTGCTTGCAATACTTCCTTGAGGTTTCTCTGAAGCATAGTGGCTCGTTTGGTTACAGTTTCAGTTGCACACCTTTCAACTACTACTAGATTTAAGAGAGGAAGAAACTTTCTAAATGTTTGTCCTCCTGTGACTCCAGCTGCCACTGGTCGCACTCTGTCCTCCTGACACTGCCAAAGAGAGATAGAACCTTGTGTTATCTCTGGGTCTACATCAGAGATCAGCAAATTTGTTCTGTATAGGGCCAAACAGTAAATACTGTAGGCATTGTTGGGCCTGAGATCGCTGTTGAAATTATTTAACATGCTTCATGAAATAAGCCAGAAAGAAAATGAAAAATACTGAATGGCTTCACTTGTAGAAGAAGTGTAAGGGATCAGGAGAAAGAAGAAAAAAAAAAAAAGCAACTGTAATAAAGTAAAATGAAAATCAACAAGCAACTATAAACCAGAGACATTCTACCAGGCTGGAGAGAGGAGTAGGATCAAAACACAGGAGTTTGGTGATGGCACATGGGTGAATTGGTGGTGGATTACCAAGATGAAAAAATGCACAAAATGAAGATGGTGCAAAAATACACATATCCATATATATACACACACATATAAAGAAACAATAAAAAGAGAAACTACATAAAAAAAAAAAAACTAATCTGCCATTGTACTGCAAAACACCCTTAAGCAATACCTAAACAAATGGGAATGACTTTGTTTTAGTCAAATTGTATGTACAAAACCTGACATGGGCTATATAGTCCATAGGCATAACTGGCTCACCCAGTCTGTAGTAGAGAGGTTACTGGCAGTACAGCATATTTAGTGACCTCATTTCCTTGTCATCAGAATCTTATATCAGAAGACATTAACCCATATGGCATGGCTCTCACACCAGCTACCATCCTATCTCTGTAGCTTGAAATTTAGTGATGAGATAATATAAAGACAGAAAGGCAAATGTGACTTCAGTTGCAAAACGAAAGGACATAGAATTCCAGTACTTATCTTATGCGGAAAAGGAAGAAAGGGCATGGAAAGGAGAACAACTCATTTGGTACAACAGGGGCCCTTAACCTCTTAAGTCAACCTGACACAAGAAGTCTGAGGGGACAAAATGGCTGGAATGCTAGCCAATCTAGCATTCGGATCTTGACTTAAGGTTTGAATGAATGGATCCATCTTCCTCAAGCCCCCTACAACTCCCAAGAGACTGGGGTTCACTAAAACCATGGTTGGATGGGGGTGGGGGGGGAACGAGTATCAAAACTTGGTTGGGTAGAAGGTAGAAGTTGTTTGTAGGGACCTCACACTTAGGTGTGGGAATAACCTATTTTTGGGCAGCATTCATAAACTTCAAGTGATTATTTCTGGCTAGTGTAAGGTTAGACATATTGTCAATTCTTTGGTCTAATGTTCCCTCCTTATTCTTTAAGTTTGATTTTGCAATTTATGACTTGTTTCTCCCTACTATACATATTAAGCTTGTATGATCAAGTCCAGTAGTGATGGGTCTGATAATTTCACTTTTCCTTCATAATCACTAGAATGTCTAGGTTGTGTAAGGTAGATAACTTCCTGCCTAAAATTACATACCATCCTCAAGAAATTTGTTGATAATTCTCACTATTAGCCAAAACAATCCTACTACAGTTAAGTTCAATTTAAAGATCAACTCTTGACAAGGTATTCTATGAGATGTACTTCAGAAATAAGGAAGACTGCTGGTAAATGGCTTCTCAAAAGTGATGTGTTTTCTTGCAGGTACCACATGGCATATCATGGCCCTATTTGGGTAACTGGGCACAACATCAACACTGCGTTACTCTGTAAAGCATTTCTCCCTCTGGTGCTAAGCCTTAACATAAACAGTGTAATAAACTATAATTTTTTTACTGATGCTTCCTTTGCAAGAAGTCTGAAATATCCTTTGAGGTGCTATCACTGAAGTTAAATTTACTTCTTAAATCATTCTTAGGTATAAAATAATGGTGGGGGGGCAATGTTTACTCTAAGTTGACCATAGCTGGGAGCAGTACAAAGACTTGGGGCTTTAGACTTTGAGCTTGTACTTTGTGATTGAAAGTGTGTAAATTAGATGTCAAGGGAAACCAGGTTATGGAAATCTGATCCAGTAGATTCCCTGCAGTGCCAGGAACTCAATGAGTGCTGAATCTGGCCATTGCCCAGAGCTGAATTAATCTCTGTCAGGTAAAATACTATTTCCAAAAACATATGCAAACAATTCCAGTTTTACTAATAACTTTATTTAAATAAGACACAGGAACTTCTATACTGAAAAAATACAAAACAAAAGCCACACGTTTCCTTGTGTAAAGCCATATTGTATGGTAACTCGAATACTGTTCAGCGCAGTGGCTAGAATTAAACAGTACAACTATATACAAAATTTAAACAATTTCTGACAAATTTCTACAGCTGGGTGTAGGATACATTTGAGCTCAACAACTTCTGGGAAATTTACATGGCAAAGCATAAGTTTTAACACATTTGGTTCAAAACTTTAATATATGCTAAGAACAAATGTACAACACAATTAATATTTCGTTTCTCATGAGAAAATAAAAGCACATCACTATAAATATCATACATCAGATTTCATCACCAGAAAAGTATATTCAGTCCATCTTTCAAAAATTGATATTGGATACTATTGCATTTTATTTGGACAAAAGCAGAGCGTAAGAGCAACACAGTCTATAATGCTAAACTAGGTATCAGAAGTTAATGGAGCTCATATTTATCTTACAGAACTAATAATTTTCTCCCTTTAACCATAATCTACAAAATATAGTATTTTCATCAAGGCCTGAGATTATTAGGGTTAAAGGTGTCTGCTGCTGAAAAGATTGTTTTAAAAGGTTCCCCTGTGAAAATGGCAAAAGTAAACTGAGTCCTTTTCCATGACAGTCTCCTCCAATATAACACTGACTAATTTAAAGGAGCCAGAATGCACCTTCAGGAGAGAATATTACTGCAAACTTTGGTGGGAAGAATTGGGATCATGACAAAATAATACACAGAACACACACACACACACACACACACACAAATAAACACACACTCCATTTCTCTTAAAAAAAAAAAATCAATGGTGTTGCTTTCTTCTTTATTACCACCTGTTCCTTCTTCAATCCGCTTGGAAAATAGAACAAAGAAAAACCCAGAATGACCAGAGGGAACAGAAACTGTTCCTCAAATTGTAGGCACCTTATTTTTCTAATTCTTGAGAGAATTGTGCCATCCACTTTAGATGTAGATAAAACAACTCTAGGTTTTACTGAACTGAAAAGCAATGGAATAAAAATGCAGAACCTCCCTTTACTTTTGGATATTCTCTGTGGGCTGCAGAAAATATCTGAAAGTCAGGTTCTTCCACTGACCAATCAGGAATTCGTAGGGCTCTGTCCACACCTTTCTGAAAAGTTAGGCCAAGTCTGCAAGCTCAAGGCTATTCGCTTGGTTTATGCTCTATTTCGCACATCCACAATATCCACAGAACTACTCACGACATTATTATGAGAGGCTCAAAAGAGACTGCTTCAAACTACTACTTTTGTAACTCACCGAACAACCTGCTTACTTACACTAATTCTGAGTCCCACATATTCTCTAAGTGAATGAACTCATGTACCTAAACTGCTTGAGGAAAACAATAGCCAGAAGTGTGTCATTTTAATTGCAAATGAAATAATCTCCAGAAGAGAAAATCAACATTAATACGCCATTAGATCAAACAGTAGCATTTTATGACCCTGCTGGCCACTGTAACTGACACCTCTCCACCATTCCATCCTCTTCTTCATTTGTTCTGGGAAAAACAAAACAAAACAAAACAAAAAACCCCTAGACATTCTTGTTCTTAGATTCTATCACACACAATGTGGAATGTTTAGGTGTAGTCTAGTCCTGGACACCTTTTGCAACATCGTAATTGTCAACAGAGCAATATCTGAACTTGTTTTTTTAAAAAAAAAAAAAAAAAGCCACATTTACACGTTGAAACAGTGAATGCAAGCAAAACAGTTGTTTTACACGTAACCACATGACAAAAGTGATGTCAGACACCACAGGTTTGCTGGTTCTCCTCATGTTCACCCATGTCCAGGATTATTGTTCTCCTAGGGTTGAATGCACTTCTTATTCTAAGAATGTGGAATGTAATGAGGAAGGGGAAATGCATAAACTAAGGAAAGGCAAAAGAGTGATGTTCCCTCTTTAGCTTTTTAGCTGTGAAATATTTAATATCCCAATATGATATACATTCCAAGTTACCTGAGTTTAGACTTCAACTGAAGTACCTGAAGCTAGGCCATAGGGTGGGCACTGTGCAACTGTTGTGGCCATTTGTTTGCTTATTTTTTGCATTGTATGTATTACAGAAGTTAGAAACAAACACCTGGATCAATTGTAAACATAATCCTGAAGTACAGTATTTTCCATAGGACAAAACACAGCAAGACATTTTCTAGTTAGACAGGCAACTTTTTGATATAGAGCTTATTTATACTGAAGGATTTGGAACAAAACACAGGACACAGTACTAATCAGTCAAACATACTATGAAATGCATAGTCTCCACTTAAACGCCGAATGACACAAATTTGCGAGCATTACTGCTTTCCACAAAAACTGCTGATAGGAGTTCCGTCCCTGCCAAGATCAGTGTAAAGAGATATTTTAGGATGCTGATAAGTATTTTTGTTGGTGGTGGTGGTCAGAAAATTTGTCACTCCATGCAGATAAGATGTCTGGGACCTAGTTCCTAATTTGTGGGATGTAGGGTAGAGGCCAGCTCCCCCTTCGCTTTAGATGATCACATAGTTCTGAGCAGAGATGTGCTCCTCGCCCTGAAGTTCCTGCAGGAGCTGCTGTTGCTGGGATGGCTGCTGGACAGAGGTTTCTGTGGAACCTGCTGTGCTGGTGTCTTCAGAAAGAGAAGCAAAGGAAACGCGGGAGGAGAGTTGCTCAACGTTCAGGGCTGCCAGGGCTGAGCTCTGGCCAGGGTTAGGAGAGTTCTTGAGCATCAGGTCAGAGGCAGGTAAGAGAGGACCTAGAAGTTTCACAGGACAGAAAGCTGATCCGGTTGGGATGAAATTAACCTTGTTCTTGTCAGGACATGAAAAGAGAGGGGCTGAGATAGGCTGACGAGACCTAAAACCATAAAACAGAATTAGTTTTACTATCAGTAAAAAGGCAAGCAGTCTCTGGATTAACTGGAGTTCTCTAAAATGGCTAAAATGTGAATGGCAGGGAATGAGTTAAGTGTACACAGAGGGTAAACATCTTCCATAGCACAAGTCAGCTGGCAGACTACCGATGTACACAGCACTGCAGTCCTATTGCGATATATGCATTTTCAAAAGGACTAGGCAAACACCTGTTCCATAGGTCACTGGTTTGCTTTCGATCATTTAGGAACATGGAAAAGTCATCTACAGAATAACCTTTTCTGTTAAGAAAAGTTTATTGGATGTGGGATTACCCCATCATGTGCTGGTTTTAAGTATTTTCTCCTGTTTCCACATCTCTACATGCTTCTAATATAAATCAGGGAATAAAAAAGTTGCAGTAGTTTCTTGAAGAGCCAGTTATCCCAACAATGTGGGGTCCTCAACTCCCGTTCCGGGGAAGGAAGCCGTGGGCAACCGCCAGAGCCGCCTCAGGCCCTGCCAGCTGGTGAGAGCACGGTGAATGCCAGAGGGCAAGAGGGTGAGTGAGCCCAAGAATCACGTGGTCTGATCTGGAGGTACTCAGCCAACTATTTGCAGTATGAACCTCTCTTCTTTTAATTCTAATTTATACATTTGAAAATTTCAAAAAGAAAAAAAAAATTTGTGAACAGAATGTCTACATGTAACGGCTATACATGCTATCTGTGTCTGTAGGGAGGAGGCTCTGTTTCTTCTGGCTTTGGATCACTGTAGTAAGCCATACATGGATATTAACTTTGCTGCTAAATGTCTTTATTGGTCATCTCCACTAATAGTTTTTAAAAGCAAAATTCTTTGTGTCAGCATATACATTTCAGCATTCAAATGCCAATGCTTCTTCAATGAGCTCTCTTTTGCCTATTCAGTTTTCTTTTCATAATTTGCTTTTGAAACACATTATCAGCTGGATGGAGTAGTTGATTCATCTGTAATCAACTGGTCTCAGTAAAAAGCTTCACAGCTTTGCAGAACCCAGCTGATAGAAAAGACATTACTTACGCCATTTCCTCAAAGACCTTCACTCGCTCACATCCCTCTGGGGGCTCCCGTTTGAACATGTAGCTGTTGTTTGGTTTGGGAGATGAAGCATACTTGGGTAACGGTGAGCTACTCCCACTGTCTGTAAATTTAAAGCAGTTATATTAACTAAGGATTGAAAGCTCTTTCAAATTAAGTCTGATTTCCAAACAAGCAGCCTTTGCACAATTAATCCACTATTGCCTTTTTGTTTCCACCACAGAGCTTCCTTTATTTCAACACTATTTCTAACACCCTTGTGTACTAAATTTCTTGGAAATAAAAGCTTCAATGCAACAGTGATCAGCCATATCACAGAACATGAAAGAAGGCTATTTTGACCCAGAAAACAGCATTGTGAATAAAGTAGAAGTACGAACCTAGAAACAAATATTATTCATTATGTATTTCAAAAAATGTAAAAGAATGGATAATACATGTAAATCAAGCAAAAGAACTATAAGTAATAATAATAAGATTCCTGTTTTTTCACTGTCCAATCAATTTAATTAAAATGTGTGGTATGTGGGAATAATCTTCATTACAAAAGTTAATAGAAACATCAGTTTTCTAATTAAACACCACTGACTGACATGTATGTAGGAGAAAAAGCCGGTTTAAAATATATGTCTTTTCCCGTTAGCCCATCATGAAAAAGGAAATTTGCTCAGTGTTTTGCTTCTAAAATATCTATATAAAAGAACTTTCCCAGCACAATATGTATTTTTGTAACTGGAAGATGAGAACTCCAAAAGCATCTCTACCTAACATGTTTTTCTTCATAGTTTTGACCAAAAAGAAAACGGTCTATTCATGGAAAGTCATAAAAACCTATATGTAATTTCTCCTTTTCCTATCTGGCAAAGGATTTTGGAAATTCAAGTCCACCAAAATGTGTCATTACCTTTTTAAGATGCCAAGTTTTAAAGTCAGTAACATATCTGTATAGGCACAATAGTCCTATTTAAACAAACTGACTTAATGCAAACCAATCCTCACTGGTAAAATACTAAGTACGTGATCTATTGATATGTTATTTTAATATATTTTGAAAGACATTATTAGTACCATAATCACATTTGTCACAATTTTGATAAGTTGTTTTAGTTTAGGATACAGAACACAGCCCAGCATTCAGAATCTGAATAAAAAGAATGTTTTATCGTTAATGTATGCTTAGAAAGTGGACCCTACAGGCAGACTTAGAGCTCATTTGTGAATGATTCAGAGCATCTATGTGAGCCTTGGGAATGTAAATGTGTGCTTGTATTTGAAAACAGTTATATCTTTGGCTGGGAAATCATTGCCTACAAAATGAAGCCATGCAGTTGGGAAACCTAGAAAACCAGCTCCTCCATCATTATTGTTATGAAGGTCATGTATAATCTCTTGACTGGAAATTATCTTAGAACAACTGGGCTTCTTCATATACCATTTAGACTTGAAGATTTTCTCAGATTTTCATTTATACTGTTTAAACAAATGCAAGAGAGAGAGAGAAGAGAATGACTTTCTCTCTGATTTAGCTGTATCTTCTCCTGACCAAAGCCTGGGATTGATGTGCTTTATCTGAGCTAGGCCAGACCAGAAAGATGGTCCACGATCAAAAAACAGATGAGAAGTAGGCCTTGAACTTATACCCAAAACACAGCTTGTCCTTGCTTTACTGGCTGGAAACAAGCCAAGGAGAGGAAATACATGAGAAAGTAGATATGGCTGTGATGTCTCCACAGGATGCACCAGTGGCCAGAAGCCATGGGCTCCATGCCCTTCAGAAGCCTTTTACCCCATCAGCAGGGATGACTGTGTGGACAGTCAGGATCTGCCCTATTTTAATCCGGCCTTGGCTACAATCAGCCTTCTGTATTGGAACGCTTATGTATCATCAGGCCTACTACATGATTCCTCTTGCTAATTTATTGGTGTTTTCAAGAAGCTTTCCCAAAGTTGAAAGCTCTGAGTTGGATAATTTGCAAAATTGATTCTCTTCCCATTAACAATGTAAATTGTTTTAGATAAATTTTCAATGTCAAAGGCTTATATTTTTAGAGTTCTGCTCAATTAAACACTCTTGTTCTATTTTTTTGGGGGGGGTGTATGTGATTAATGCTAAAAAAAGGAACACTGCTATTTTAGAAAAATAGTATTCAGTGCTATTAGATATTTATTTTTCTTTTCAATAAAAAAACTTTGTTGTTGAATATATGTACTTACATTTAGTCTTTGTGGTCTGGAAAGACAAAACTTGAAAAACTTAATTTGGCTACTATAAACAAAAATGTATTAAATATGGAGATTTTTTCCCTCAGTTAATATGCAAAGAATATACAAAAATAATATACAAAGAACATGAAATGGAGACATCCAGTCTGTGGTTTTAGCTTTGTTATTAGTTGTGCAGTTATATAATCCTCCATACAATGACCTGTAAGAGTCTTTATATCACTAAAGAATTGCTACTGCTAATTCTAAAATTCTGTTGTGTTTTTTTTTAATGGCTATAACAGATGAAGGAACACTATACCAAAACATAGTTTTTGGTTTCCAAACTGGAATGCTTTAAAAATAACTCATAAGAACAAACTATTCTACTCATTCCTGACTTACACATCTAACCCATTCATTTAAAATCTGAATAAACACATTTGAGTAAGAACATTTGGTGAGGTGACTGTGCCTGCTTAGGGACTTCAAGGTGAGAAGTCTTAGGGTAATCTTAAGTCAATTCCTTTTGTTTACAAGCATGATAAATTTTCTCATTCTGCTTCTTCACAGGATAGTAACTACACATTGAACTGAGATTAAGTTAATTTTTAACCTATGTTTGTATAACCTCATGGTCTATCTCAATTAATAAAATTAACTGCAATGATTTTTTTTAACTTGTCTGTCTGTATTTATAGCAGTCATCTATTTTTAAAGAAAAATTACCCAACCCTGAAAAATTAAGAAAATCAAGGAAACATATATTGGGCATTTAATCATGACAGATAATTCTTATGTACATCCACCATATTTATGATTAAAATACAAGTAGCCTATCATATATTTTTTAAATACATGACACTGAGTTAAAGCTTGAAAAAAACTAGACACATCTTCAAAGTTTAGAGTTCAGTATAGAAATGATATTCATTAAATTATATCTACTTTTATAGTTACATGTTTTCTGAATTTCTCCTTATGAACGACTTTTACTATTGCTGGCCTATTAAGTTGCACAGCCAACAATTCCAGCACAGAAAATCAAATATATTATTACATTGACTCATTTACGCGGGTAGACATGTTCTATACTAACTCTAGGTCTTTGGCTGTGTGGTATGAAATTAATTCTAAAGTGAGCAACATAATGACAGAATCTCCTTTATTCTGGTTTCACATTAGACTTATCAGAAAATATTTTTAAAATGCCAATACCAATGTCCAGGTCTAGAGGTTCTGATATAATGAGTCTGGAGTTTTTTGCAGGCATTTCCGTCCCCCCCGCCCCCACCAAAGCTCACAAATGCTTTAGATGTGCTGCCATATTTGAGAACGAATGCTGAAAAGGTTGTAACACTGGTTTGCAATCAAGTAGTCTGACCTATATCCAGGCTGCCTAAACTGCACGACCTAAGGTAATTTTGGTTTGGGAACTGTCAGAGATGTGTATATAAGCAGTGCCTAAAACATAGTACACTCTCAACAAATATTACTGCAGTAGTAGAAAGCACACATGATCCCTAACTTGCAAATTATAAAGGTGAATCATTCAGAGGTGAAGTGCCTATTCCATTCTCTAGGCAGATGAGAATAACAAAAATGTCATTTTCTAGAGATCTTTACACTCTTTATTCAGGTACATAAGACTTAGTTTCTGGCAAGAAAATAGAGTGATATTTGGAGTACCAGATTCTCCAGGTTTATGACTGCCTTGCAAGAACTCTGGCAGTTCATGATGGCATCGTTTGGTATATAGAGATCTATTCTCCTGAAACTAAAATCAATGCCTCAAGCATGCAGTGTCTGTAGAATCCTCTACAAAGAAAATATTTTAATAGTATGTTAAATTTTTACACTAAAATCATGCCTTATAAATCACAAAGGTAAACTAAACTGAAAACAAATTTCAAATCACATAGATTATATCTTGGAAAGTAATGAAAAATCATCTCAGGAAAATCATTTTGACACAATCTTAGTTTTTAAGCTTGTTAATGAAGAAATTTCCAAGCACATCAGTTAAAAAAAAAAAAAAAAAAACTGAGGCATACTGCTCCTAAAGTATCCTAGGATAAAAGAAAAGAAAAAAAAACTATTAAAATTTTCACAATAATTTTCAGGGCTCATTTAAATATAACTATGTGTAAAAAAGGAAGCAGAGCAAAACACTATAAAAGTTGTCTTAGAGTGCATTAGGTAAAATTCCATATTTCCTTTTTTTCTTTTTGATTCTTGCAACAGAGAAATGTGAGATCCTTAGGCAGAAGCCAACATAACTTAATTATTATAAAGCTCACTCTTGCTCTGATAGTCACTGCCTTCACATGATGACAACCAGGATCCACAGCTCTCTGCACTCACTGTCTTTAAAAATAACAAAGCAAGCTTTACTAGTGCATTTTGTTTGAGGACTGAATTCCTCATATGTATAACACAGAAATGTATTAACTCATATCAAGGCACAGATTCAGAATTCCTGAAAAAGATGTATAATAGATCAAGCCTGGAGCCTCATAGGAGAAGACTATTTTTAAATAAGCCTCACAGGAGTAGACTATTTAAAAAAAAAGTGTCCTGATGTTGACACTTTCCACCTCTGCAGTTTCACTGGAGTTATGGTCCATAAAGAAAAAGCTGAAAACATGTCCTTTACTGCCAGAAGGTCTCTTTGCTTGGCCCTCATTCCACGCAGCAAGCAAGGCTTACAGGTTCCTACCTTTCCACCCTCACTGTTTTCTACTCCCCACCATCCATCCTTTCTCCAACCACACAACTTCTTACTGTTCTGCACATACCAGACCCTTTCATAGTTGAATGCTTGTATAAAGGTTACTTTTGAAGGCAGCAAGCAGTGTACAGAAGATCTTTGTTGGCATAGATCCTCCATAGAATTTTAGA